AAAGCCTGGGGTCTTTGCTGGGCGTTCTTCACTTCTTACTTGAGGAAAGCATGGGCTTTGACTATGCAGTGTTCTGTCCAGTACCGAGGGCCCCTGGTGGCAGCTGGACTCAGGCAGTAGCTACTACCACATGGCCATAAGTATTACTGGGGACACTGTCAAGTCTGCCCCCTTTCCTTTTGATCTAATGCACTGGAGTGAATGTTCTTTTCTCAGCCTTTACCACTGGTGACAAGGCCCTCTCAGGGTAACTCTCTATGAACAAAACCCTGCTCTGGATAACAAAGCAGGGATGTGAAAAATACAGAAATGCCAATTCAGAGTGACTTACATTGTGAAAATCCTATGCAACTGCTCATCTTTTATTGCAATGTCTAAATCATGATGAGGAGGAGCAGATAAAGAAGAATTTATAAAGACAACTATCTTTTATTGTTATTTTCCCAGTGAAGCTTCTCTAATCTCTTTATGTGACACAATATGTGTCAGCTGTTCAACTCACAAAAAAAATGACACAAAAGTACCAGGAAAGGGAAAATATTTTCTGTCTCTCCTTTCTTGTGAAAAGTTCAATAAGCTCATCTGTGTTTCCTCCTTTCTATGAGAGATGCACCCATCCCTTGGCCCTCTTCTCATTTTCCACTGATACCAGGCAGGCCTCACAGTAACCCTCTGTGGTCTTATAAGATCAATGAAAACCAGAAATGTTTCCCCCTTGGTCCTGACCTCAGCAGCGGTCTATACCTGGGGAGCCCCATCTAAGTGCCCCTGGTCCAGACTGAAGCAACTGACTGGGAAACTACTGCTGTCCTTCGAAACTGCCAATGTCATTTGGATTTGGAAGTTGGCCAGGAGCTGAATCTGTGGCCAAGGGGGCGCTGCAATCTCTGCTCTTATCTCTGCACACCCTGGAAACTCCTCTGTATCCAGTCCTAGTTATACCTGTCTACAAAGTAATCAACACTCGAAAATGAACTTGGGATATTCTGTGACATTCTTAAAGGTCCACCCTTCTGTCCTTCCTCTCACAGTTAGGTGCTCTGATCTACACTCTGAGCAGCAAAAGAGGCACCGGTTAAGTAAACTGGGGACAAAGGAACTCATGTCTTAGGGCCTACAAGGCTGTGAGTTTCTTGGACTGTCCCAGAGAAGCAGAGGGGAAAACACGGGCCACCTCCATGCTGAGGCAACTCAGGGTACTCTCAAAGCTCGAGGCTTACAGGATAAAGATAAAATGAACAAACAGAGATGAATTTGGAGAGAAGAAAAAGGCCCCAAAGACAATATTTTGTAGCCCCAAACAGGGCTGGGCAAGGCAGGTTTGCTGGAACGGGTATACCTGAAACTAAACAGTGTTTTCACACTTAAAGAAAAGTTGTGCAGAGAGTAAGCAATGGAACTAAACTGCGTCTGAGAGGCAGAACTGGGCACACTGGATCTAGGGCGAGGTCAGAGAGAGCTCTTCTCCCCTTTCTGTGGCCATGTGAAGCACCTCTCATCTCGAGCTGCCTCTCTTGCTCTGGTCAGGTGCTCCAACCACCACCCACACAGCTTACTCAGCTTCTCTAGCTGCCACCACAACAGAGCGAAAGCTGCTGGAAAAAGGCCTTGTGAGCATTCTGGCCTCTGAAAAGGATCCCCCCATGATGAAAGCCTAAGTTGACTTTGGTTTTAGGCATTATTCTTAGTACTACAATAACAACAACATCTGACAAGCAGTGAGTGCTTACTATGTGCCATGCACAATTATAAGCATTTTGTGTGATGAGTCCACTCAGTCCTCACAAGAACTCTGAGTCAGGCATTGGTAATCACCACTTCAGAGAAGAAGAAACCCAGTCAGCAGGGTTAAAGGGTTGCTCAGCCACAGAGCTCAGGAAGGGACAGAGCTGTGGCCAAAGCCAGACCCGAGGCTCCAGAGCCCATGGGCCCAATGGCCATGTTCTGCCTGCCCTTGTGAACTGTTATAAGCAAATTTCTCTGCATCTGGTTGAGGCAGGCACAATGGCAAGACCAAAGTCCATACTTCCCTTATGAAATCATGAGGATATTTGATGATCTTGAGACAACATTTTTTCTTTTTGGCCTATAGTTATGCTCAAGTCCAGGCAAAACTGTAATTTCTTTAAAAGCATAGCAGCACTGAGATTTATCGTGAAGATTTGACTGGAAATGAGCGAAGTCCATACTTTAAAAAATATCAGTGTTAAGATTTTCAACTGAAAAATACATGGAAGCAAATGCTGGACTCTCGTGGTGTGGGTGTATGTCCCCCAAAGGCTTGCTGTGTTGGAGGCATGGTTGATGATGGGCTTTTGAGAAGTGATTGGACCCCAAGGGCTTAAACTTCATCAGTGATAATCTTATTGGGAGGTGACAGAAACAGTGAGACCTAGCTGAAGGGAGGGAATTATGGGGCATCTCTCTGGAGACAGCTCTTTCCCTCTCTCTGTTTCATGGCTGCCAGAAGGTGAACATCTTTCTCTGCCAAGCCTTCCGCCATGATGCCCTGCCTCACCGCAGGCCCACAGGAATGGCGCCAGCTGACCATGGACTGAAACCTCTGAAACCATGAGCCAAAATGAACCTTTCCTCCTTTATACTGTTTTTCTCAGATATTTGATCACAATGATGAAAAGCTGACTAATACAGGGTCCAATGTTTTTCACATTTTAGAACTGTTTTCAGGATGTGTTTAATTCTAGAAGATCTAGAGAAAGAAAAGGAAGCTAATGTTCATCAAGCATGAATGAGGTCCTATGCATTAGTATGAGAATTTTTTCATATCTGCAAACTTCTTTACCTTACAACAACCCTGTAAAATAGTACTAACTTCATTTTTATAGATGAAACCTGAGACTTAATGAGGCCATGTACTTTGTCCAAGATCATAAAGCTAATAAGCAATATAACTGGTAATCAAATTTTAAATGCTCAACATCCATTCTCCTCAGATTAAATTATATTTAGACTATATCTTACACAATGCTGAGCAGGATCTTGGTGCATATACTTGGAGTAAACTGTAGCTGTCTCAATTCTAGGTAGTCGTGTCTCCATCTATTGCCTTTGCTGATCTGTAAGCAACTTTGAGCACAGTATGTTGGTTTTGCCACTATAGGTCTCAGAGCATCTGGCAAGAGCACACTCTCCAAGGTAACAAATGAGCCACCTCATTCTGTGAGTGTAGACATCATCCAAGTGCGGATGATAATTCCAGAGAAAGATGCAAATATATTCTTAAGGCAACATACACACTTAGAACTTTTACTTTTAGAGGGACTGCATGAGAGTCACTAGCAGACCCCAACAAACCTCAGCAGCTGAAGTACAGGGACTCAGCTCCATAAGCCCTGGGTGTGGTGTGTGGTCATATTTTGTTGGTCAGCCTCTTCCTCCCATCTCTGGTGCCTCTCCCTGCTCTGTCTCTCTTTCCTGGCTTTGAACCTGTTGGCAGATTCCAACAGTTTCCCTTCAAAGGGTTGCAGACAAGCCTAATGTTATAACTCCTTGCTTAATTCTAGACAGGTTTCCATTAATTGTTTTAAATTGGGGTGAATAAATGGTATTTAGTCTGCGATAGAACTGACCGTAGCTGGGTAAATATAAACAAAAGCATTAATTCAGTAAGACCAACTATCTGCTAGTTGACAAGAAGGAGGTCAGCAGTGCCCCTGCTAGGGCAGGTTGGAGGGTGGATGGCAGAAGAGATTTAACAGGACTGGTGTTGAGTATCTGGACTCTGTACAAAGCGGAGAATAAGGATTGCAACTGGAGTCCATTAGAAGAAAAGCAAATGTCTTGTCCACTGAGAAACAGGCATTAATAGTATCAGTCTGTAATCTACCCCAGGCCCCTTACCTTCCCTTCTCCCTTATTTACTTTCATTTTCCCCAAAAAGCCGCCTGCCAAGGTCCCCTCCCAGATTAGCCTTGGGTTTCAGGGGCAGAAATACTGTTGCTAAACAGATATGCAAGGGAGTAGCATGTGTTACGGGAGTACAGTGTGACAACATAATCCCAGCATGGACAGATGAGGTCAGTGTGGGTGGTGCTGGATTTCCTACCATCTCCTGAATCATCTGAGGGGAGCAGAAGTTGAAAAGAATAAATACAAACACATGCAACACTGCCACAAAGACTGTATGTCTTCGTTCTGAGAAAAAGGACCCTATTGTGGAAGGATAAGTGAGGCAAGTTTTGGGGATCAGGTGACCTCAGTTCCCTCCCTCCCCGTCCCCACCACTAGCCAGGCAGCTGTAGGGCCTCAGATTGCCCAGCCTCTGAGAAATGAGGGCACTGATCCAGCTGGTGTCTAAGGTCTCTTTCAGTTTCCAAGGTATGGATTTATCCTATGTAAAGAGGTTTTATAAAAGTACATCACTGCATGACCACACCGGGGACATGGTGCTCTGAGCTGCTATCTTCTCAGGTCACTGGGTGCAGAATGTGTGTTGACTTCTGTGAATGTAGGCAAAGTGCTGGCAGCTGCATCAGAGCCAATGATTGACGCAAAGCAGAATCCGAGAGAATTTCTGGGGAACACGTCTGCTCCAAGGCGTGAAAGAGATTCCCACTGCCTGAGGATCTCGAAGACTTTTGCAACGCATGGACAAGGAGAAATGATGGGACATCCAAGAGCACTCAGAGGTCACAGCTTGCATGTCATGGCCCCAGGGTGCTTTCAACTTGTAGGCTCCACCTGTTCTCAGGTTATTCTTTCTGCCCAGAAGGTCTCCCCTGTTTTTGCCTAACAAACTTCTATTTACCCCAAGTCTAAGACCACCTGGCTGGAATGAAATTTACTTGTCTATTCTCTGGTTATCACGTACATCCCTGACTTCCTTCTGTCTCATACTGTACTTCAATTCCAGCAGTTATGGATTATAAACTCCCTGCTGGGCAAGCCTATAACATTTATCTCTGTGGGCTTGTTTGACACATTGTGTACACTCACTCAATAAAGGCTTGGTAACAGAGCCCAATAGGTTTCTAGGTTACCTGCTAATGTGACTGCAATGGAGACGGAGTCAGACCCCAAGGTATTTGTGGCATTGCAAGTGTAGAATCCCACATCAGCTTCCACTGGTGCCAAGATCTGCAAGGAATCATCTGGCTGTAGAAGAATCCTGGAGCAACAGAAAAGAAATGCAGACCTGGTCAAGTCAGCTAACACTTTTTTGGCATTCAACACTGGGGAGCAGGATCCTCAGGGTACACTCAAGACTCTGTTTTAACAACTGAAATGGGGACCAGGAATGGGACTCAGGATGACTGGACTTATAGACCACTATTCAGTTTTATCACGCTGAACAGGCAGAAATTAAAATCTGTTAAATCCCCCAATCCATTAGGACAGCTGCCACCCTACAACTGGTAGCATCTCTCTTTTCCCTACAGAAAGTGTTCTGAATTAACACTCAGAACAGGAGGCTTAGAGACAATTTTTTCTTAATTTTATTCTGGTCTTGCTATGATGTAAGTAATGGTCATTAGCAAGTATCTTCTTCTTACATTTCAGTTGATAAACTTCTAAAACCCAGTTGAAGTATATTTTCCAACTGAGCTGAGGAAACTGTTACACTAAGGTACACAGGGAACTTTCAGGCCATTCTCTGGTATTTCCAGCGCCTCTTGTTAGCAATGCTGGATACTGTGGATGGTGAATTAAATGTGAGTAAGGAAAGTGAAGGAGGAGATGACGAGCGAATGGGAGGGCACCTGATGTTGGCTAACCTCCCCGAGACTTCCATATTCAGATGTTTTTGTTTTTGTTTTTGGTACCGACAATTGAACTCAGGACTTTGTTCTTGCAAGGCAGGCTCGGTGCAACTGACCTAAATCCCCAGCCCAGATGTATTTTTAAAATAGAAATGTTACACCAGCCTGATCTTTTGCAAATGGTATAACCCCATCTCCACACCCCTCCTTGGGCCTGAACCATAAACTTTTGTTTTATTTATGAAATGGGTTAGCTTTTGAAACTACATCAATTCACTCCAGGCACTGGCATTGCTAACTAAGCCATGATGCTTTCTGTCCCAGTATGAAGCCGGAAAAAGAATTCCCGCAGAGTTAGTGAAGGCAGGGACCTATCTCACCAGGCACAAAACCATAAGAATTTAAATTAGGATAGGAATACTGAAAATGGAAAGGAAGGAATACAGACATGAGATTTAGCACCCATAAATGCTTTTGTTCTACAAACAGTGTATACAAAGATAAAGAAGTTGCAGTATTTGCCTTCACAAAATTCTTAATTATTGTCCTGAGACAAAATCTACATGGGACAAAGTCTAAATTGGTCACTTGTGTATATTTGTAAATTATATTCCTAAAGCTTAGCTCTCCAGCTCAAGAGAACACAGTTATTTGGAGGCAGAGTTAGGATATGCAATTGGCTTTCTTGCTCTTGATTCAGCACTCCCCCACCTCCCATGATACCTTTGGGACCACCAGAAAATCTAACTGTCTGGTTGCACTTTCTTCTTGTAATTAGAAAGTTTCCCATAAGTGTGGTATATTTGGCCCACTTGGATATTCCATTTCCTTCCCAAACAATCTACTACAGCATACGTCCTTTTTTGGACTGGGGGGATTGGACTCCTACTGTTGCTACAATAGGCCCAGAACATTGGTAGATGAGGGCTGCCACTAGGGAGAACAAGAGTTCTGGAGACGATTCTCATGTAGGGCTCTCTAGGAAGCATGACAAGGCAAAAGAAAGGGCTTGGTGTGAAGACCAAGGTTTGCTTCAGTCTCTCTAGTCGGGCAACCAGGGAGAAAGATTCCTGGAAAAAACATTGTATTTCAGGCCTCTAGTTTATTAATTTAACTTAATTTGCTAGTAGCTGATTTCTGTCAGCATGTATTTGAGTTTCGAATTTGACAAGGCTGTTTTAGAATGTGTAGGCACAAATATGGCTGCTTTCCAAACAAAACCAGAAATGTTTTTCTGGGGTGGTTTTGGAATTTACAAAGTCAGAAGTTGAGGGGACATAGAATGGGCATAATGAAGACCTACATAGCAAAGGGTACTGGGGTCATATTAGATGTATTAATACCCCCTGCTCTCTGCTCACACCCACACTGCACTTCCCTTTAGGTTTAACTGGGCTAAAACTTAATTGCCTTATTTCTTTGACAGTACTTTTAGTCAGAAAATAAAGGTGGAGTTTTACTTTTGTGTAGTCTTGTAAGCTTCTTCGTGGCAACACATCTTCTCAGCATTCTACAAATTAAGAACCAGTTGAGAGAGTACAAAAAACTGTTTTAGTTACCCAAGTAAGAATTCTTGTCATGCTAATGTGTAAGATATGGAAAAAATGCTTATGGGCCAGGCCTGCCAAGTACGAGCTCCTTGAGTTTAAGGTGTCGCCTCTGCATTTTCAGTGTTCGGTGATAGCATGTTCTTATCTGAAGAGGAGGAGGCTCTGAGTGTACAAAGGGAAGTCTCCAGCAATTCTCTGAGTGGGGTGGCATCAGGATGTCTTTTTGATCCTTAGTTGAACTCTGAATACCACTGTCCTATGCAAGCCCTCTTTCCAACTTGACCTCCATAACCCACCAGGAGAAGCTGCTGCGTGGAGGAAGCCTCCCACACTGGAGTCACGTGTCTTGGGCAAGTCATTCAACAGTGTAAGCCTCTCAGTTTGCTTTGTACACCCAGGATAACACTGACCTCAAGAAGCTCTGATGAAGAGCAGATGAAAGTATGTAGACTCGTTCTTACTGTTTTCCAAGTACAAAGGCATTAAGTTAACTCTCATATAATTAATAAACAGTTTTTTGGTTTGCTTTTCAATAGCATAGTTAGTGTAACCTATGTAGCCTGCTTGGAATTTCCCACCTGAGCTGCCTATCTACTACATAAATCGTGATATGCCATTTTAGCCTCTCCTGCCAGTAAGCAAGCATTCTTAAACCCATGATAGGCCTAAACATGGGTCTGGCAGCTGGGAATCGTAGGCATATTCCTTCCCCTTAAAAGAGTAGTTTCCTCATGTTTTCAAACATCACACACCCCATGTTCCCACCCCCATCGAGATGGCCTCTGTGGCTGCCCTTGGCATTAGCTTGGGGTGTTCCTCCTACTATCTACCCTTAAAGACTCTCCCAGCCCTTAAGAATTAGTTCAAGTTCTAGGTCTTTGCGGTAGCACAGTTCTTTCCAAATACTCCAGTTGTGCTAAGCTGCTCTAAATCCCTTTCTACACTAGTCTTATTTCCTCAGATCATAATTTGTTACCTCAAGGGTGGGTACTCTCTTACTCATTTCATAGTTCTCCTTCACTATTCAGCACAATGCTGGCAGGCTGAATAAAAATTTAATAAATAGGTATTGCGTTACCTTCAAAACAATGGGGCTGAAGCTGGCCGTGGTGGCACATGCCTGTAATCTCAGAACTCTAAGAAGCTGAGTCAGGAGGATTGTAAATTCAAGCCCAGCCTGGGCAACTTAGCAAGATCCTGCCTCCAAATAAAACAGTTTAAAAAAGGGCTGGGGATGTAGCACAGTGTGAAGGCCCTGGGTTCAATACCCACAAAAGAAAACCCCAAACAACGGCAGCAACAACAACAACAACACGAGGCTGACAGTGATCATAACCACAGATGGCACAGTCGACAGCAGATTAGAGCTCAGATTTGAAAGCACAGCAACTCCAGTGCCAGCTCTACTGCTTAGCAGCTCTGCAGAATGGGGAAGTAATATACTGGACTCATGAGTACAAAGTCCCCTGATCTATGAAGGGAAGACTACAGTGCCAGCCTGGGTATGTTGTGAGAACTGGACATGAATAATGCATTTAAAGTAACAGCAGGCTTGGGGACGGGGCTGGCTCCAGAAGTTAGGTCAGTATTTTGTTACAGTGGGGCTGGTGACACCATCATTGGCATCCCTGTCCATTCTTCACGGCTGAGCCTCTGTATTCTGGATGTTGTGAGGGAGCGTTTGGATATGGATAAAGAACTGAGAAGTGTAAGGATTTTAGGGGAAAAACACAGACCAGGGATATGAGGGAATGGGGTTTTCTGCCTCAGAGGCCAGGGAGTAGAAAAGGAGAGTTGAGAGTAAGGCGCATGGCACTCAGGCCCGTCAATGGCCTTGATGCAGGGATGTCTGTACCAGGACAGTGAGTATTCCATGACTGTTTTTTTTGGTACCAGAGATCGAACTCAGGTCCTTGTGGTTGCAAGGCAGGCGGCGGAACCACTGAGCTAAATCCCTGGCCTCCATGACTGTTTTAACATGTGAACCAGACACTGACACTTTGGATACTAAGAAACAGCCAGAATCCTGCAATTTCAGAAAAGTACATAAACAGCAAGAGCAGAAGAATGACAGCTGGAAAACAGTAAGTGCAGGTGCAAATAAGCAAATTTAAAGCAACCTGAGAAAAGAACACTAGCCCTAAACTCCTATTCTGAGGAAGTGACAGTGAGGTCTTTTCCGGATCCTGAAATGAAGATTTTTCTTCCTGCTTAAGGATTTCTCAGATTAGGAAAAAATGTACTACAAAGGGAGAGTGGCAACCAATATTTACTAGACAAGTGTATATGCTTTATATCATTTTGTTCTTACTACCAGATTGCTAGATTGACATTATTTTCCCATTTTAGAGAGGAGGCAAAAGCTCAAAGAAGTTATATCATTTGCTCATCTAGAGGAATGGTGGAATGACCTTTAACTTGTCTTCAATTAACCACATCCTGGTTCCCACTGGGGTGTAATAGGAAGGCAAGTGGTTTGGCATTATTTTTGGTGGGGAATAATTTGTGCCTAGGTTTGTAGTTACTCAGGGAAATGGACAGTCAGCGAAGTCTGGTTTTTAGATAGTTTCAAGAAGGAGGCAAAAAAAATGCTGCAAGGAGACAGCCTCTAGGCATAAGATTTTTTTTCTGAAACCCAAAATTATAGTAGCCCAGAGGCTTGCACGGTTGTTTTAATTTGCACATATATTTGGGAGAATTGATTTAGGGTTCATGCAGAGTGTCATATTACCATTTGGCTAGGGCCACTTTTTTTTTTTTATCCTTTGCTGTTTTACTGTAATTGCCAACTAAAAGTTATTTAATGCTGGAAGCTTCAGTGATTGCTCAGATGGAAGTATAGAAAATATTTTCAGAAT